TTAAGCCTTTTGGTAGAGAAGATGGTAACTCTTTTCAGTGCTGGCTGTGGGATTCTGTAGTAATCCCGGCACTCTGGTGACCTCTTCCTTTTCTTTCTCTCTTGTGTTGATTTTCTTTTGTATTGCTTAAACAAAAGAAAATAGGCCCTTATGTTACAGGAAGACCCTTGCAAGGGGATTATTTTAAGCAAATGCAACTTTCCCAGGATGGGAAAGCTACTTTTCAGGGGCAAAGAGGGGTTTTGTTTTGGTCTACAGTTAGGAAAAAATGTCTAACAGGAGCTTTATCATCTATGCCATGGATAATTCAGTGGTATTTATGGTACTGTTTTACTTTTTTATTACAATATGAATTTCTCTGACTCGGGCCATCAGGCCTGACAGATAGGCCAACATTGTTCACTGAGCCAAAATCTTCTTTTGTTTAAAAAAAAAAAAGTGTTCTGTATGCAGGGTTGTTTTGAGTCCTTTTTTTCTAGGATTGAAACAGAATCAAGTTATGCTACTTACGAATTTGGTGAACTCAGACTCTGATTCCCAAATTGAAGTTCCTTCAGCGTTTTGTGTGTGGCTGCTCTTAATGTTTTTTTTCCTTAAGAAATTTGCGATTCTGCTCTTGCTTTATGAAACTGTTTCCTGCAACACTTATGCTGAGGTAATTTTTCTCCTTGCAGAAGTCCATTCCCCACCCATGAACGCTTCCGCTTCCTGTGTGATGTAGAGGGTTTGTAATGTCTGTGACCAGCACTTGCCCTGCTTGTATGCAGGCAGTCTGGCCTGATGTCTCTTCTGGCTTTAAATGTGCAAAAACAAATAAGGTGCAGCCAGTGTGTGCCTGCTATAAGCTGATTTTCTCTCCTTGTCTCCACATTTGCCAATGTTTAACAAAACATTGCTGAAACCTACTTCACCTTCCTTGCTCTCTCCCCTTTTGTAGTGAGCCTAGACAACGAGGAGTTCCTAATTGGTTTAATTAATTACTCTTCAGGCATTTTGCATGCTGTTTCCAAGCTGTTAAAAATCGAGGGGAGAAGGCAGCATGGAAAAAACAAAGTCAAAACCCCACCTTTCTACAGGCAGTTTAGGAAGATTTATGTGAGTGTTTTTTGGTTTTTTTTAAACAAATTTCAGAAAATAAAAAAAAGCTTTAATACATTGTCTAAAACTTGGAATTTTTCTTTCCAGTTTAAGTTTCTTTTGCATCTTTGGTTAGTTTGAAAATCCCTGTGAGTTAAGGTGTAGTACAAGTGTACAGAGAACCTAATAGGTTTTCCTTGTGTGCTGTGGGAAAAAAAAAATGGGCCTCACAGTAGTGAAACAATCTCTGCCATGTTGTGTCATCTCTGTGGAGTAAGTATACGGTCCTTCCATGTACTTGCAGTTTAACAATTAATTTTAAATTATAAGTACCATTTAGTAATGGTAACCATGAAATGGAGTGTACTGTTAATGGATAACATCCTTTGTAAACATGAGATTATGAACCCACTAAGACATACTTAGAAACTGAAGGGGACAACATCTTTATGCTTCTGTGAAAGTTATCAAGGTTCTGTGGAACTCTTGCAGTAAATCTTTGGCTCAGTTAGGGAAGGTTCTTTTGTATATGACCATACACTCTTAAAAATGCAAATTAGTACATTCTTTTAGTCCTTCCAAGGTGCAGTGTAAAAACACAAGTGAGAGTGAGATATGAGCATATTCAAGCTTTTGAGGCCAACGGGAGCTGTGTCTTTTGGTTCCAAAAGGTTGAAAGCTTTTGGGCGTGAGCTGTCTTGCACTCCATCTTTATCTTGTCTGACTTCATTTTGTTGGCTGTCTGAACACAGATATGGGATTTATTATGGTGCTTGTGTCAGAAGAATTCCTCTTTGGAGACTTTTGAAATATACTTTAATTTGTGTAGCAAAGCTAGGCATACCCTGGGTGGAATCTCTGTTCTTGAAGAAACACAGAAACTTCTTGTTGAGTGGTGAGAAATAACCATGTAAAGGAAACTCCGGCTTGCTGTTCTCTGGAGTGGTTTGGCCACAGTAATGGATGCTGGTCCTTCCTGGTTTCTCATTGCACCTGTATCACTTCTTTGTGTCCGACCC